AGAGTTTTCCGCCAAATCACTTTAAGTGGACTGTATTTCTGAAGATTACAGATTTAATTTATGTTCTTGGTGAAACAGTTTCACATTGGATTGTGGCTTTTAGCACTAGAGGAGGTAAAAGTTTTCATCACTTCATTCTGAGTGGACTTAATTTCTAAGTACCACAGATTAAATTGGGGCCCTTATAATACCAATTAAGTAAATGTGAATTTGTATATATGTAATAGTTTATTATTTTTACACAATGATTTGGGTTATTTGGAGTGTTTGTTGTTTACATGTTTGGTTGTTGACACCACTTTTGTTTGCACATTTTTTTAGTTTTGCATAACGCTACACCATTGTATATGGATGTTTTTTTAGATTAATATTCTCTATGGTAGATGTTAGCTGCTGGTTACACTTTGTTTAGGGAATAAGAAGTAAGGATTAATGCAGAAAATGTTCTTTATTTGTATTACTTCCTGTATTTTTCTCTTAATAGAACTATAGAAATAAAAATCAAGGACAAAGTAAACTGAACTTGGAATAGTTCAGTCTGGGCCAGTGAAGTTTTTATACTTTCATACAATCTTTTACGGTTTTAATTTGCTCTCTTCAATCAAAGCAACATCCTGCTGACCACTCTGTAATCTCTGACGTCAGTGGAAAATGTATGGCAAAATGTGCTATCACAGGACCACAGAGAAGGGTTAACCATGGCTATAAAATGTTCTCATTTCCCTGCTTACCGTATATTAAGCCATACGCCTCCAGGTTTAGTCATTGCATTCAGCTGTTAAATTCCCAGGTGGCCTATATATTTTGTTCTGGCATTAAAAACATGCACATGAACAAACTGAAAATTCTGTATGCTAGGTAAACTAGGTATGGGTTTAAAGGACTCCAACATGGATTTCGTATTACATTTATTATTATCAAGGATTACCTGCTTGTAATGTCCATTCTACTAGTTGTAGTCAGTGTCCTATGTTACACTAGACACTGTTCAATATAGGCATTGCAACCAGAGATGCATTGCTGGGTTTGGTTAGTGTTATTTTTTCTCATCTTTAGAGGTGTAACAATCTATCTGCCATAATTTGTCGGATTTATCACCAAAAATGTGCATGTTCTGCTCTTGTTAGTGAACCTTTTTGACCCACCATACCCTCATTAGTGTGTAGAAAAAAACCCTTTTGACATGTACTCCCAATGCTCATAAATGCACATTACATCTTGCACATTTATCTCTGAAAATAATTTACTTTAGGAATTCTTTCAAAGTGTGGCACTGTCTTTTATTCACTGTATGTCTTACGTATGCCATCACAATTGACACTATTAATGGTTTGCAATAACATTGTACCTGCAGATCAGTGTTAAGCCTCAGTAAAGGTTACAGTCACAGTACAGGCATCCTGGCACCATCTAATGGTTTTGACCAAGAGTAACAGAACTCCCCAAGACAGTACTACACTGACCACACAGACAAACTATTTGTGTATTAAATTGCCATTAAATCTGTTGTCTCTGTATGAAATCCAAAGCTCATCTTTTTTTAATGACATCATACACTTAAGCGAATGATATTGAAAATATGGCAATGGCTCTACAGCACCATTTTCACATTGATTCCTTCCATCTTCTGACACTTGTGCTAAGTCTTCATTTATAAAATTTAAAAGATGTCTGAATGCAAATTAAATAGTTGAGAAATACGACAGCTCTCTTTCTGTCAGGAAACTACCAACCTAAATTCCTCAATTCCAGCAATCATCACCTATAATTCACTGTGACTTTTGATTTCCATTAAAATATCAAATTACTCTTGTGGCCTCTACTCAAAAAACAAAATATACTGGGACTTGAACACAGAAATCTGAGCCATCACACACTGTGAAATATGTGTTTAAATAAGAAAACAGATATGATTAGAGCAGAAAAGAATATGCGGAATTCGATCAAGGCAACCAATTTGTTTTCACAAATACAATGTATTAATCCCTCTGATATTTTTTTGCTCTTAATATTTATATCTCATTATTTTATGGCATCCAATAAAAAAAATGTCTTATTCAATCACCGGTTTCTCATATTAAAACAATCTACATTATGATGAAAGGTTGACTAAATAAATGTAAATGTTATCACGGTGTAATTTTTCTTTCTGCCCATTGTTAACCTCCTGTGTGATGGTAATATTATACCCATGATTTCTACTATAACTTATATACAGTGGATATAAAAAGTCTACACACTTTTGTAAAAATGCCAGGTTTTCGAGATGTAAAATAAATAAATAAATCACTTCAGACTTTTTAAACCTTTAATGTGACCTATCTGTATAATTCAATAAAAAAAAAAAAACAACCTGAAATAGTTTAGTGGGGGAACAAAATAAAATAATGTGACTGCACAAACCCTCTTAGAGATGTGGCTGTTTTCAGAATTAACCAATCACATTCAATAGTAATCAGTGACTCTGATTAAGTTATTGGAAGGTGTCATTCAGAAGAAGGGTACAAAAACATTTCAAAGGCATTAGCTATACCATGGAACACAGTGAAGTTGGTCATTAACACGTGGAGAAAATATGGCACAACAGTGGCATTACCAAAGAACTAGACGTCCCAACGAAATGGATGGAGAAAAAAAAAAGATAACTAGTCCCGGAACTTCCAAGTGACCTACAGAAACATTAAAGGAGCTGCAGAAATTTCTGGCAAGCACATGTTACAACATATTGTTCATATGTCTGGGCTATGGGGTAGGGTGGCAAGATGAAAGCTTTTTCTTAATAAGAAAAACATCCAAGCCTGTATACATTTTGCAAAATCAAGTCTGACAAAAGCACGTGGAAAAGTATGTTATGGTCTGATGAGACCAAGATTTAACTTTTTGATCATAATTCCAAAAAGTATGTTTGGCGCAAAAACACTGCACATTACCAAAAGAACACCATACCCACTGTGAAGCATGGTGGTGACAGCATTATGCTTTGGGGCTGTTTTTCTGTAGCTGGAACTGGGGATTTAGTCAAGGTTGAGGGACTTATGTTCCAAATATCAGACGATTTTGGCCCAAAACCTTCAGGCCTCTAAAAAGCTGAAGATGAATACACTGCTATTATTCACTGGTTAAAATATGCATTATAGATTAAAGGGATTTTACTGGTAGACAGTATTGTACTTGAAAATGCAGTCACGGGTAGCAGTTGAACAGCCAGATGTAGCATTTGGTGCCTCTCTCTACATCTACACGTAACAGCTGAGTTATAAATGCTTCACATCACCCTCCATCAAATCACTTACACGGTTATTCACAAAAGGGTGAAGAGTTTGGAGAAGGCAGGAGAAGTGAACAATCTAGGTCAAAATAGCTGATTTGGAAAAATGTTCTAATTCAGCTCACTTTCCAAATCAGCTATGTTGTCCTAGATTGTTCACTTCTCCTGCCTTCTCCAAACTCTGCACCCTTTTGTGAATAACCCTGTAAATGTTTTATGTTTGAAAAGTACACCCACTACTGATCCACTTTATACAGCAGATTAGGAGCCTATAGCAGAGACAGGGGAATGGAAACCAAAGTAGTAAATCAGAGCATTCACAGAGATAGTTGTAGGGAAATCTGTATTCGAAAACTATGTTTAGATAGTAAGCCAGATTTAAACATAGACTGATGTCAGGTGTAGGTTGTAGTGGGGCGATGCCACAACACTAGCCAAGGTTATCATGCACATTAGGGCTAAAACAACTAATCTAAAAAAGTCGATAATAATAATCGTTGTCAATTAATTTAATTATCGATTAGTTGGTCGCTCCATTAGTTGGGCTGCTTGCACCCTCACTCCCTCCCCCTCCCCACTCGCACTGCCTGACTATTGTGACGGACACTGCCCAAAGACCCGCGGCCCCCTCCTCTCCGGGCTGCTCATAGTGGACTAAGTGGATGTATAGGGGAGTCCCGGTGAGCGCGGACTGACCATTTGGTGACTGTTCCCGTTTGTGAATAGAGATGCACAACCAGTGTGTACTATGTGTGCGTATTATGTGTTGTATGTGTAATGTATACGTACAATGTGTTGTATGTGTAACCTGTGCATAATATGTGTTGCATGTGTAACATGTGCATAATATGTGTTGCATGTATTATGTGTTTCATGTGTAACGTGTGTGTATTATGTGTTGCATGTGTAACATGTGTGTATTATGTGTGTATTATGTGTTGTATGTGTGCATTATGTGTTGCATGTGTACCATATGTGTTGCATGTGTACCATATGTGTATTATGTGTTGTATGTGTACCATATGTGTATTATGTTTTGTATATGTACCGTGTGTGTGTGCACAGTGAGTGGAGTCAGTGGCATAACAACCGGGCCGGGGTGGGGTGGACAGTGCAGCTGCCCATGCACAAAGATAGGGGGATGCAGGTCAGGCAGCGAACACATTTAGGGCCGGTTCACACCATCTCCAGTGCGTTGCAGCACAGTTAGTGGCACGCTGGATCGCAGAGTGGAAGCCTGCCTGCGATCTGGAAAAATAATCGGTCAACTAATCGATTATGAAAATAATGGTAAGTTGCAGCCCTAATGCACATAATCTCCCTCCCCCCATCAACATTACTGCTCATTCCATGAGTTTTGTAAGCTCTGTGCAGCTTTCAGAACCAGGCTGATATTTTGAGTGTGTGTGTGGGCATCATGCCACCTCCTTTCATCCTAAAGCACCTACCCAATACTGAGGTACACACAGGATGGACATCATTAGAGAGGGGGCCACCTCTCTATAAGGAGAGCATTCATTTGTAAAATGTCAATATTACAAAAATGAAAAGTTAGAAAAAAAAAAGGTTAAAGAAAAAAAGTTAGATCGAAATATCCAACCTGGTAAATAGGACTGTGGGAGGAGATCTAAATACTGAATGTTCTCAGCTCTGTTTGATATGATTCTTGTGTTTTGTATTGTTTCTATTCATAACATTAAGATGCAAATGTGGCACATTACTTATACATTACCCTGTCCATATATGGTGCAAGTGCTTCCTTCGCTTCATCACAAAGTGGACACGGATCCTACAAGTGATGGACAAACAAAAGCCTTGTTAACCTGTACAATGATCCCAGGTAAATATCCTCAATGTGGAGAGAAAGCAAAAAAGTTCACAGATGTAACCGTCCCCCACTCCATAAAACAAGAATTTGGCAAGAGATTCCCTGTTGTTATTTTAAAAATATTCCGTTTTAATATTTACAGATTACCAACATGTAGTTTGTACTAAATGTACCAACCTGAAGAAGGCATCTAAGGAATCCTGAAAGCTTGCATCTATAATAACTTAGGAGAACTATGACATGAGTGATTTCCACTCACCTCATAGTTCTAAGCCGACCTGTGACAATGAGACTGTCACAGGTCGGCTCAGTAGATCGGGAGGTGAGGGAACACATACTGGGTTCCCTCACCTCTCGATCCTGTCACAGCTCTCTGCCGTGACAGGGGGAGGGGCTGGATTCCCCTCTCCCCGCTCTGCCAGCGCTGACTGGCGGAACGGACGGGGGAGGGGGCGGGTACAGCTGTCTCTGCCTCTAGATAGGCAGAGCCAGCTGTCACTCACGCAGCTGGGCGGATCCCGTCATCTAAGTCGGGATCCGCTCCAGGTGCGGCGTCTCAGTATACCGCGAGCTGTAGCTCGCAGTATACTGAGCTTAGGGTAAGGGGAGGACGCTAGTTTGTGTCCTCCCATTACCCCAAGGAGAACTATGGGGAAAAACACTGACCCCATAGTTCTCTTTTAAGTTAGCCAATAAACGGTATCACCTACATTCCAAACTTTCTACACTCATTGGTGGCTTACACAGTATAATACTCTACTACTGTCAAAATACTAAAAAAATTTAAGCACACAATAGTCTTCACAAAATGTTTACTGTGACATAGGTGATCATGTTATATACAGTAGTCCTGGATAAATCTCTTAGGAAAAACACCCTCACAATTTCACATCACATGTAAAACATACACTGGATTCAAGATATGACATAACCAGTGGTGACAATATAATTGGTTCATGATAAATACCCTCTTTGTCCAGTATAAAAATTGTCCATGGTGATAGTAGTGACAGGAGGTGCAGTCATAATGGATACAGCCACCTCCACATACTGGTTTCCCTAATAGAATTCATAAGATAACACCATGGGATTAATTTGTAAAAGTATAGCTCGTCAGCACCATGTAAGGGTGCTAGTGCCATGTACACGGCATCTGCCTGGCAAACAGTTATAAATGAACCCCCACGTGAAAGTAAAAAAAAAATGTCAGATTTTTAAAAGCAGTCTGCCATGAAATTTAGCCCAACCCAGGTTACCCCTCCTCCCATTAGTATTTCATGATTTATTTATTTTTTATATGTTAAGAGGTTTCTTTGGGTCTTCTCCAGGTCGAGCTCTGCATCATTACACTCTAGGTGTAGGGTGCTGTGGTGACACCCTGTCAGGGGCTGGGTCCATGATGCTCTGCACTCATGGAATATCTTCAAGTCTACCAGGTTTAATTACATGGAATGCCATTTAACCCTGAAGACTGAGAACATTTTGTGCCAAAAAGGTATTAATGCAGGGGACAGTACTGGAGAGGAGGTGCATATCGCGGCCTGAGCTGTTTTTTTTATTTTAAACAGTGTTTCAGGGACATTTAGTAAAATAATCTGGAGTTGGGCTTTTACACTTTGTAAGCAACATATTTGATTCCAACATGCTGCAAATAGAGCATATGTCAACAAACTAATATAACTGTAAGCAGTTCACTATTGGAAGGTCAGAAAGATAATCTGTGCATTCTGCCCCTAACAACCAGTAAGAGTAGCCCTACCAAGCAGTGCTCCTCAACCTTTTTATCGCCGCGGACCGGTCAACGCTTGATAATTTAGAAAAAGACAAAAGAAAAACAAAAAGGGAGGCGAGGGGGGGGTGAGGCCTCCGGTTTTCTTCATTAGAATCTATAAGGAGTCTTGATGTCACCTATGGTGTTAATCTTTACTATTTCCTATGCCCTTTTCACTACAGAAATCTACCACTTCATCGTTTCTTATCCAGGTGGTGTATTATCTTCATGTAGGCTGTTCTCTCCCATATCTTGTAGGTTTCCGGGTGATCTTATAAAGGCAATCCATGGTTGCCAGGTAGATTCAAATTTTTTATAGTTATCTCTCCGGATAGACGTCAGTTCTTCCATCAATCTGTAATGTTCTACTCTGTTATGCCATTCGCTCATAGTTGGAGTATTAGTTTGGTTCCAGTGAAGTGGGATTAAAGTCTTCGCGGCATTCAGTAGTGGTACTACCAATCATCTTTTATAGGCCCTCATCATCAGGTCCGTAAGGTGGAAGAGGGAAACCATTGGGTCTAGAGGTAATGTGGCCTTGGTAATCTTCTCTATTTGAGCTATTACTTGAGACCAGTAATTTTGTATTTCAGGGCAAGACCACCACATATGTATATAAGTACCCTTATGGCCACAGTTTCTCCAGCGTAATTCCGTCTTAGATGGGTACATCTTACGTATGCGTTTTGGTGTATAATACCACCGTGCCATAAAGCAGAAAGTAGTGTCGGTCACTTGAGTGCTAATTGATGTAGTAGCACTACGAGTTAACAATTGTTGTTTCTGCGCATCCGTCCAGATAATCTCCAAGTCCTGTTCCCATTGATTTAGATATAATGGATAAGGGCTAAGTTGACCTTTTATTAAAATCTTATAAATTTGTGATATTCCATGGCGTGGTAATTCTGTTGCAAAAAGTAATTTTTCAAAAGGTGTAAGTTGCGAAGTAGTGCGGAGAGGCAGTATCTACCCAAATGAGGAAGTAGATTGTCTTGAAAAATATTGTAATACTGTAGTGTGAAGCCGTCAGGTCCTGGGCTTTTCCCCTTGGCCATGGCGGCTATGGCTTGTTGGATTTCCTCTACGCTTATATTAGATTCCAGAGTTTCTGCTTGAGCCTTAGTTATAACGGGGATGGGGATCAAGGCTAGATAGGTCCGAATGTGGTTTAGGTGTTCTTTTGTTTGTGTGTTACTCTCGGGTCTCACCTTATACAAGAGTGAGTAATATTCCTTAAATACGTTAGCTATAGCGGTTGATGTGTGTACCATTATATCCTGTTTAGTCTTAATCTTTGCTACGAAGTTCCTACTTTGTTTATCTTTCAGGAGCCTAGCAAGAGATTTCCCTGGTTTATTACCCAGTTCATAAGAACGTTGGGAAAGATATTTTAAGGATTTTTTATATTTACAAGATAGAACCTCTTTCAGAGCATCCCTTGCGTTTGTTAGTTCTTTAAGAGCCGAATTTGACAGGGACCGTTTATGTATTTGCTCTAACGCAGTTACTTTAGCTGTGTGTCTTATCACATTCTGGGTATGTTCTTTCTTTTTGTAAGCGCCCTGAGAAATAATGGACCCTCTAATTGTGGCTTTATGAGCCTCCCATATAGTCCCCGGCGATTCCTCTCCCTCTGTATTTTCTGAGAAATAATAAGACAAATCTCTCCTAAGGGTCGCCAATATTTTTTCGTCCCGCAAGAGAGATTCGTTCAATCTCCATATGAGTGGTGCATGTTTGTCCCCTGGGAGCCTCAAGGATGCCATTACTGGGGCGTGGTCAGAGATAGTAGCAGTTAGGATGTTTACATCTTGGATAGTCCCTAGATGATAATGGTCTATTAGTATGTAGTCTAACCGTGTATATGTGTTGTGGACTGCTGAGTAAACAGAATAGTCCCTGTCTCGAGGATGATATATTCTCCAGATGTCAATCAGTTGCATTGAGTGTATTGTATCTTTCAGATATTTAAGTTGTTTAAAGGCTATATGGGAGCGTCCTGTAGATTAATCTAAGGATGGGTCCATATGAATATTAAAGTCTCCTGCGTAAATCACCATGCCCACCTGGTAGTCCCGTAAGAGGCGTAGTGTCTGAACTGAACATTCCTTTGAATGCCAATCGCCACCCCTCTAGAGCTGTTCGAGTACGAGGTACTATAAAACCATGTCTGATAATATAGCGAGGATAAACGCACATGGGTATAATGCGAAAGATGCGTTTCCTGCAAGAAAACGATATCGCAGCGCAATCGCCGCAGCTCCTGTACCAGTTGATGTCTTTTACTCGGAATATTAAGACCCCTGACATTGTAAGTTAGTATATTATAATTGGCCATTGGCACTCAAAGGAAGAGCAGTTTCTTAGCCTCAAGAGCCCTACCGGTCCTCCCCCGGGGGTGTCCATGTATAGTTCGGAAGAAGGTCATTTGTTGATATTGCCTCCTGCCATCCCGGCAGTTGGGGTGAGTCAATTGCTATAGTTTCACAGAACTGATGTAGATCTTCTGGAAATCGAAGTATTGCAGTTTTTCCCTCTTTACGAGCTATCAGGCAAGACGGGAAGCCCCACCTGTAGTTGATACCCGCTTGCTTAAGAATATCTAGGAGTGGGCGTAGGGCCCTACGTCTTGCAAGGGTTTCGCGAGCTAGATCTGGGTATATCTGTAGGGGTGCCTCGTTATATTCTATTAGGGGTTTCTCCCGTAGTTTCCGTAAGATATTTTCCTTATCCCCATAGTAATGCAGGCGGCTTATTATGTCCCGTGGTGTCTCTAATGCCATGCCGCGTGGACGGGTGGCACGATGAACACGGTCAAGTATCAGGTTAATGTCCGGTGGTCGGTCCAGTATAGTATTAAAGATCCCCCTTACTGTCTCAGTTAATTCCACGTCAGTTGTAGTTTCAGGTAAGCCTCTTATCCTTAAGTTGTTTCTACGGTCCCTATTTTCCTGGTCCTCCACTCGATATGAGGTGTAGCGCTGTGTATGTCTCATCGCACATACCTGAGTTTGCAGAGTCTTGATTGCTTCCGCGTGGGAGTCCAGCCGAGCCTCTCCGTCCTCCACCCTTTGTAGCAGGGCTGTCATCTCCCCTTTCACTGCTAGGATATCGGTCTTTAAGGATTTTTCAAGCCTTGAGAACATGTCCACAAGTTCCACTCTCGTCGGTAGAGTTTTCATCAGCTCGT